TGGCCTCGCCCGCCGCCCGCTCCCCTGGCCCGCCCGCCAGCCCGCGGGCCTCTCTGCCGACCGGAATTTACCTCAGAGGCGCGGCCGCGGGCAGCGGGCTCGGCCCGGCGCGCGCGTCCGCCCGTCAGCGCCGGCACATCCCCGCCGCCGGCGGCCGCGGAAGATGAACGAGGCCGGGGAAGGAAGGCGCGAGCGAGGGAAGGACGGGTCTGCGTCTACTGCCTCCGCGCGCCGCCGCCGGCACCTCCTACTGCCGCCGCTGAGGGCCGAGTCGCCGTCCGGGCCGCGGCTGTGGCCACCGATGCAACCGGGAATGAATGCACGGCGGCGCCTCGCTTATCCGGAGGTCAAACATCCTTCGGCCTCGAGCATCCGGAGCGGCCCCGGACCCGGAAGTGAACACATGAGAGGAGGGAAAAAAAGAAAGAAAAGAGGGGGTGAAAAAAAAGAAAAAAAAAAGAAAGGAAAGCGTCTAGTCTCTCCGGCGGCGGAGGCCCCCAAGCAGCCCGCATCAGCGAAAAGAGCCGAGCGGAGCCGAAGATGACACCGGCCGATTCGGATTGGTCGGCTCGCCGGCCGGAAAGGAGGCCACGCGCTCATTGGCTGGAAGGAGCCAGAAAGTCTAAGTCTCGCCCCATTCCGCCTTCGCACGAGCAGCCCGCGAGAGGGGAGCGGTTGTAGGTCCCTGGTGGCTTCTGGCTGAGGCCGTGGGAGGCAGGCTGAGTGAGGTCTGCAGGGAACTGAGAGAGCTTTAGAAATGCTGCAAAGAATCAAGGGGACAGAGCCGTCAGGCTACCGTTGATCAGCCAGGGTGTCAAGGCATTCTTGATTTGCATCTGGGCGGCCCTCTAGGTGCCAGCAAATCAGGACCTGGTTGACATGTTCTCCATCTCATTCTGACACCCCCTAATCCCCCTCCCCGAGTGCTACACCACGGATCCAGGATGCTTAGAAAAATGGCTTGTGATTCACATGTGTGAGCACAGGTCTTCATCAGCTAAACCCATACTGTGTCATAAATAATATTGCAATATTTCAAGTGAAGTTCTAGGTGTTTGGACACTAACCATGACTCATTAAGTTGTGAAGCTCAAAACTGGAACCAACGTCTTCAGAATCCACTTCCCAGGCCACTTGGAAAGAGTAGGAGACTATATTCTTCGTAAGCACTGCTTTATGAGTAACATCATCGTTGTGTAAACCAGGTCAAGACAGGCGCCGCAGCACAGGCCTGTAAACCCAGCTATCTATCCAGGAGGCTGAGACAGGTAGATGGCAGGTTGGACTTGAGTGAGCAAGGGCTGGTTTGAAACTTAATAATAGAATACTTGTTAGATTTTGGCGCTCAGCTTAGAACAAACAACACCAGACCAAACGGTTCCAAATGGGGACGGGGTTTATTCAGGAGATAGGGCAAAGATGGGGAGAGAGATGGAAGAAGATGGCAGGGAAAGAGAGAGAGAGAGAAGAGAAGTGGAGGCCGGCCATGACCACGTGGAGAGAGGAGGAAGGGAATGGGGGAGAGTGGCGAGGGGACAAAGAGAAGCTAGAGACAAGAGAACAAGAGAACAAGAGAGAAGAGGAGGCAAGCAGCCCCTTTTATAGTGGGCAGGCCTACCTGGCTGTTGCCAGGTGACTGTGGGGAGGAGCATACCTGGCTATCGCCAGGTAACTGTGGAGGTGGAGTTAAGACAGAATACTAACAATACTAACCTAGCATTCAAGATTCTTAAATTCAGTCCACAGTTCAAGGGCTGTTGAGCTGTGGAACAGGTAAGATTTATGCATGCTCAGTCTTAGATAATAACATACCTCCTCAAACAACATATCTCAAAGTCTCCATTCTAAAAAGTTCATCTTCCAAAAACACAGCGCAAGAAAGAAAATAAGTTAAAATTAATAAAAGGAAGAGAAATGTCTACAAAATACATTGTCCTTAACAGCCGTCTTTTTTATTTTCTTTCTTTCTTTTTTTTTTTTTTTTGAGATAGTCTCACTAAATTGCCTAAGCTAGGACTGAACTCACTCTGTAGCCAAGGCAGACATTGAATTTGTAATCCTCCAGCCTCAACATCCTATGTGGTTGGAATTACAGGCATACACCCTCAGGCCAAGACCCAAGTTTCAATAAATAATGCCAACTCTTTTAAACCACAAGAATAAATATCTGGATTAAATGTATTTTAACTGAAAGTGGGTAAGAATGTTTATATTTCTAGCACTCGAGTAAGTATTCTTCATTGATATTTAACTGGAAACCCGTGGATTGAAACTAGCAAGAAATCAAATTATCAGCCTTTTCTAATGAGTTGAAAGAAAAAAAAGACAAAATCAATATAAGAATAGTTTATATCAACTGAGGAAAAGCCAAACCAAAGATATCTCAGCAAAGCTCTTCAGGGTGTAATGTGTCATGGAGGCAGACAGTCCACGCTTCCCGGTCTGCTGCTATATTGCAAACAAATGCAGTTTGCTTTTGTTACTCACGCTGACTTTGCCATTCTTTGGACTCATGTTCTCCACTCATCTTTTGTTACTCCTGCACTTCCATCTCTGTGCTCAAGTAGTCACAGTATTTTTATCACATATGGAAAGCTTGCATTTGTCAAAGTTCTCTTGTCTGAAAAACTCCCAATTCCTTCCAGTTCTTTGCTCAGTGGGAAAGAGAATGGTACACTCTGAAAAGTAAAGCTGGCCATTTTCCCTCCTCTCTAAAAAGTGAAGTTTCAAGCAAGAGAAAGAAGGAGGGAGCTTGTTTAGTTATAAGCAGGAAATTATGAGATTAAGATGTTTATTAAAACCTTTCAAAGCAAAACGAGAAGACACATTTGTTTTCTTCATTTACGTATTTTACTAGTGATTGTAAGCCTGCTACGGTGATTTGCTGGTTGACCTAGGGGATACCTGAGATATTACCAAATTCAACTCAATTGGTTTTTTGGTATTTTGGTTTTTGGTTTTGGTTTTTGGTTTTGGTTTTTGGTTTTTGTTTTTTGTTTTTTCTTTTTTTCCAGTGTTATCCTTAAGGTCACCTACCTGTGGTAGAGATGAAATTTGAAAAAGTCAAATAGTCAAATAGAAAGAGAAAGGAGACATTGTAACAATGGGGGGCATGTATTAGTCAGGGTTCTCTAGAGTCACAGAATGAATGTATGGAATGTCTTTCTATATTGAGGGAATTTATTATGGTGACTTACAGTCTGTAGTTCAACTCCCAAACAATGGTCAGCTGTGAATTGTAAGTCAAAATATCAAGTAGTTGCTCAGTCCCACAAGGCTAGTTGTTTCAGCTAGTCTTCTGTAGGGAATCTTCCTTCTTCCAATGTCCTTGTATAGTAGGTCTCCAGCAGAAGGTGTGGCCCAGATTAAAAGTGTGTGCCACCATGTCTGGATCTGGGATTTGTTTTGGCCCAGGCAGACCTTGAATTTAGAGATCTACTTGCCTCAGTCTCTTGGGATTATATGCCTGGGCCTAAATTTTTCATAGCCACTATGCCTCAAGATCTCCATGACAAGATCCAGGTCAGAAACTTGTGTCTTCCAGCCTCAATATCTGGATCACAGGTGTGCCCTCCAATTCTAGATTGTAGTTCATTCCAGATATAGTCAAGTTAACAACCAGGAATAGCCATTACAGAGGGGTAGTGCTGGAAACAGAGCAGCACATTTTAGTCACTTCAACTGGAGAGAATCCTGCAATCCACAAAAGGTGTAAAAGGAAGGGATCCGTGAGAATGTCAGTCACATACAGTCTACCTCCAGTTATGAGAAAGTAGCAAACTTCCTTTGCAATTGTAGAATGGTATTCTCTGCACAGCAGACCTCAGTATCTTCATCAAAGCAGCTGATTATGTGCAAGCAACCCACAAGACTGAGCCAGTTCCCATGGTTCCTCTCTGTGAGTGTTGATCTGGAAGACTCCAGAGACCCCCCCCCAAAAAAAAACAGCATATTTCCATTGCGTTGGCTTGCTCACCAGAACTGTAAGGTAAGATGAGATTGCTGAGACTATCACACACTTTGGATGTAGAACATAGAGAAATGTTGGTATTGACCAGAAAGCTTCCTGCCTTCTAGTTACCTTTCACAGAGCTGGACAGAAAGAAAATCTTCAGTCATTCCCAGCGGGAGACCCTGCACACTCTGATACTGACCTTCCAGGCAAGATGTGCCCACTGATGCAATAGTGACCTGACTGTAAAGGTAATAAGAACTGACTTTAGATTCAAGGCCTTTTCTACAGGAGGGAATTCATGCAGGGTATTATAAACCTGGTCCAAAGCCCACTGGCTGGTGATATCACAAGCTCTACGGAGGAAGCTACCTACCACTGTTAAGTTATTTTGCTAAATGGAAACAGTGTCAAACTGCCCTCTAAATATTTATGCTTACACATCTGTGGAGATGTACTACTTTCAGTCTTGGTCAGAGAAGCTTCTTTTTCAGTAAGGAGAGGGTAATGTAGATTCATAATTAGTGAAAGTGCTGAGAGTTAGTGATTGTTAACTGTTTGGACCTAAATGGCACATCTATATCACACACACACACACACACAACACACACACAGACACACACACACACACACACACCTCCCTATACCATGTCCAAGGCTTAGGGAATATCACAGCAGGAGCACACATAATTTAAGAGCTGACAGATGAAGAACTGCTGTGAAGCACTGTGTTCTGGACATAGCATGGTCATTGTACAAATGAACCCAGAACAGCAGGGTTATTTGTACAGGGCCTGCCCTATTAGCAGGCCTATAACCACTCCATCACAGATGGAGGAGGGGCTCATAAGGCCACACTCCTTGTGGAGGAGTTGTCGGGAGTGAATGACAACTGGGAAAAGTAAATTGCCCATGTTCCCCTCCAAGCCACACTCATTGCAAAAAGTCCTGATTATATTCAGTGGGTCATATGGAGAAGTGGAAGTAGAAATGGTCTTTTAAGAAGAATGGGTCCAGAGGGAATGGGGGTGGGATAAGAGAGGGTAGGTAACGCTGACAAATAGGATCAAAGGACACATATGAAATTCTCAAAGAATAACATTTTAAAGCAACTAGCCCCGATGTTCCCTTGTAGAAGAAAGGAGTTGAGAAAATAATTGGACATTCAACTAAGATGCCAGTCACTCCTTCCAACTGTATGTAATTCTGCCCAAGCTGTACATGCTTTCTTTTCTCAGCATCTGTCAGAATGTATGGAGGGTGCTAAAATGAATGAAGGGGTAAGGGGGTGAGGAAGTATCATCTGTGCTGGGGTGAGACGTTTTGGTAGTGCAGCTGTTTGGGGAGCAGTTACCCACACACCTGTAAGGAATCTGTCAGCCATACTCTAAAAGTAAGCCCAATAAGCTAATTGGTTCACCAAGTTAGAACGTTCAGTCTGTCCTAGTGCCCGTCTGGGGTGAGTAAATATTGCTTCAGGTGTCCCCAAGGTTCACAAAACACCAGCTGTTACATGACTGTTGCTAGAAAAAGTCATCATGCTGATTTATACCATTCTTAGTAAA